TATCAATCATCCTGTCTTAATTAAAAGAATGATTGGATGACTAACCCAGGAAAACAGAGTCCAAGTTCCTAGATCAATGGCTTTATTTCCTAGATCAATAATTTCCACCTGTCAGTTCTGTGCCAACCACATGTGATCCCAACTATCTTTAGTGGTATTATAAACTTCTCTTAGTGAAACAAAATAAGTACTTTAAAAATAAAACCACAAAATGGAGGTGGTTCCATAGTGTAGTGGGTAGCATGTCTGCTTTACATGCAGAAGGTCCTGGGTCCATGCCCCAGTGGAGCCACGGTCCATGGTCTATGGCCATGCCACCCTGAACAAGCCCGACGTCTGATCTTGGAAGCTAAGCAGGGTCGGGCCTGGTTAGTACTTGGATGGGAGACCACCTAGGAAGACCAGGTGCTGTAGGCATAAATAATAATAACAAATAATTAAAAAATAAATAAAATCACAAAGGATTGGAATGGAGAAAAAACATATAATAGTCAGACACGTAATGAAAAAATGTCAAATTAGGAGCAAGAATTGCTGGGATGAACTACGCTATAGATCTTTAGTCAGTGACTAGCTTATTTGGTTCCACACCTCAGTACTTCAGAAAGCACAACAAAACACCAACTGACAAAAATGCTTCAGGAACTCTGCTTATGGATGGGTTAACTACTGACATTATTTGACTTTAATATTTATTGACAATCATTCTATATGACTATCTTGCTAGTTTAAGAGAAAGCCATGTTAAGTCCAGTTGAAAATTTCTTGATTTTGAGGAGCTAACTATTCTAAAGCCAAAGCCGGAAAATTTTTTCTTAAAGGGCCAAACAGTAAATATGTTAGGCTTTATAGGCCACAGGTCTCTAATGTGAAACAGCCATAGACAATCTGTAAACAAATGGCTATGGCTGTGCTGCAATAAAACTTTATTTATAAAATTAGGCTGGTTGGCTAGATTTGGCCCATGAGCTACACTTTGCCAAATTCTGTTCTAAAATATGTTTATATTAGAAAATACTTCTTCCATACTTTTTAAAGTCAGAAATTCTCATGAAATGTTATTCATGCAGTCAAAAGGGGCTTTGTCAATTATTTTTCATTAGAGAAAAAGTACATGTCCCCAAAAAGCTGTATCAGTTAAGGCTCTATTAATTAGGCATTTGTGATTGCATATATTAGACTTAATTGAGGTTTACCACTGCATTGTCTAAAAAAATGATGTTTGCTTCCTGTGATAGCATGGCAAGGGACTGATGCTCAACCTACTTAAGAAAATAAATTCACTTAAAGTACTATAGCAATATAGGTATGCAAACTAAGATTATTAATTAAAAATAAATTTTATCTTTTTATTAAAGCATATCAAACTGAATCAAAATGGTTTCTCTTCAATTACTATATGCGTGAAATCGATAAAACATTTATTTTAAACCAGCCTATAAATTCTTGTAGTTCTTTAATTCAGACTGCTTAGCTTTCAAGTCCAGGCACTGACACATGAAATATTCGTTCATTCATTCATTCATTCATTCATATTTATTGAATGCTTATAAGAATACAGGTATTGTGTTAGATGCTGAAGATTTAAGAGTTCAATACAGTCTAACCATTAAAGAATTCTCAATCTGGCAAAGAATCTCCTCAGAAAATAATTGTGATGAAACCACAATATTAATGTCAGGTTAATCTAATATTAAAATTAATTTTCAAGTTTCAAGAAATGTTATAAGTATCAGATTTCCTACCAAATAAGTATTATATCATTTCCACATATACCTCTATAATTTTTCATTATTTAGTTATATAAATTAAATTAAAAAATGAGATATCATTGATTTCCAGATAGATAATAAAACAAGTGGTATATGCTACAATGTCAAATATTTTTAAAAAACATTTACCAAAAGCCCTAGAAACAGAAGATTATGTATAAAATAACCCTATTTGTACATTGACAATAAAGATACTTGGAACATTTCTGAAGGAATGTTAACGGTGGGCCTAAGGACAGGGCTGGGAGCCAATAAAAGGAAGAAAACTTTTACTTTTCTCCTTATACCATCCTCTAGTATTTACTTTTCTTTTAAATAAAAGAGAAGTATTAATTTTAAAACAAATTTTTAAAAGAGATTAACATCAACAAAGACAAAAATAATTCTCATTATCAGATATGTAAACAGAGGGTATATTCAAATTTCTTTTCATTCTACAACTAAGAATGCTTTTCTCTATCCAAACTTGATATGAAATTTACTGAACAGATTTTTTAAATATCCTGCATACCAAATGCTGTAGGCAAGGATAGCAAAGCTCTTCCTTTTCCATTTTCCTCTATTAAGGGCACTCAGAACCACAAAGTTAATTAAAGAAATGATCCTGGCTGCTTATTAACTATTTTCCTTTTGTGCAACAGATTATGACAGGATGGACTCTCATGCTTTAACAGCACATCATGGGAATTTTTTAACTACACAATTGTAAAATAAAAATGTACTAACACTATGGAACCAAAGAATAAAATAACTGAAATAAAGTATATATTAGAGGCAATCAACAGTAGATTAGATGAAGCAGAGGTTCTAATCAGCAATTTGGAAGATGAGGTAGCAGAAAACACCCTATCAGAATAGCAAAAAGAAAAAAGAATCCAAAAAAATGAGAATAGTTTTAAGGGGCTGCTGGGACAACATCAAGCATATCAACATTCACATCATAGAGGTGCCAGAAGGAGAAGAGAGGGAGCAAGGAATTGAGAACTTGTTTGGAAAAATGATGATGAAAAACTTCCCTAATCTGGTGAAGAAAATAGACACACAAGCCCAGGAAGAACAGAGAGTCCCAAACAATATAAACCCAAAGAGGCCCACACCAAGACACATTATAATTAAAATGCCAAAGGTTAAAAACAAAGAGAGAATCTTAAAAGCAGCAAGAGAAAAGCAGTTACTGACAAGGGAGCTCCCATGAGACTGTCAGCTGATTTCTCAACAGAAACTTTTCAGGCCAGAAGAGACTGGCATGAAATATTCAGTGATGAACACCAAGGACCTATACCGATATTACTCTACCCAGCAAAACTATCATTTAAAATTGAAGAAGAAATAAAGAGCTTCCCAAAGAGGAAGAAGAAAAAAAAAGAAAGATTAAATATTTAAATAATAAAATGGCAATAACTACCTATGAATCAACAATTACTTTCAATGTAAATGGATCCAATGCTCCAATCAAAGACAGGGTAGCTGAATGAATAAGAAAACAACACCCTCACCTATGGTGTCTACAAGAGACTTACTTCAGATGGAAAGACAAATACAGACTGAAATTAAAGGGATGGAAAAAGATATTTCATGAAAATGAAAATGAGAAAAAAAGCCTGGGGTAGCAATACTTATACCAGACAAAATAGACTTCTAAAAAAAGGCTTTAACAAGAGACAAAGAAGAACCCAGTAATCCCACTTCTAGTTATTTTATCCAAAAAAACCCAAAACAGTACTTTAAAGGGACATGTGCACCCATATGTTCAATGCAGCATTTTTTATAAGAGCCAAGATATAGCGGCAACCTGGGTGTACATCAATGGATGAATAGATAAAGAAGATGTGGTATACATATACAATGGAATATTACTGAGCCATAAAAAAAGAATGAGATCTTGTCATATGTAACAACATGGACCTAGAGGATATCGTGCTGAGTGAATACAGACAGAGAAAGATAAATGCCATATGATTTCACTTATATGTGGAATTTAAAAAAAAAAAAAAAAAGAACAAACAAAACAGATACAGACTCACAGATACAGAGAACATTTTGATGGTTCCCAGATGGGAGGGGGGTTGAGGGGATGGATGAAAAAGGCAAAGGGATTAAGAAGTACAAATTGGTAGTTACAAAATAGTCTTGAGGATATAAAGTATAGCGTAAGGAATAAAGTCAATAATATTGTAACAACTATGTATGGTGTCAGATGGGTACTAGATTTATCAGGGAGATCACTTTGTAACTTATATAAATGTCTAATCACTAGGTTGTACATTCGAAACTAATATAATATTATGTCAACTGTAATTGAAACATTAAAAAATTATTTTAAAAATGTACTGACACTAAAGATACCTTTATAAATCTGTCACTTTAATCTTTCTTCATAACTTGGTTTATTTATGTGGCTATATAGTCACATAAAATTTCACTGAAAAAAGATATAAGCATTACTATTTGTTGGGCATGAAAAACCTTATAACACTGGACTTCTCATTTATTCTCAAGATAAAAGGCTAAGTGATAGTGAAATTTAACAAAAATTCTTAGATTGAACAGGTAATTTTTAAATTGTAAAGAGTGTAGATTTTTCATGCTTCAGTAAATAATGAAAGAAATACACATTTTCTTATTTAAAACCTAATATTTGGAACAGGAGACCTAGTATGTTGCTAACAGTCTCAAGGACAACTATGAAAAGGGAACAAGACAATGCAAACAAATGTGATTTTTTGAAAACTGATAATGATTCTAAATATAAGAACTGATTTCAAATTTATTTTAAAATATACTCTAGAAGCATAGCAATTTCTGTATGCCTGTTAAAGTGGAATGTAAAGAAAAACTACTGAATATTCAACTGATTCAAAATTAAAAAAAAAAACCAGATTCTACAAGTTGAGTCTATACGAATAAGATTGGCTTCTGGAGATAATCATTAGTTTATTGCTTATTCCTTTGTATTCATTGGGAATCTTCCTAATACTTAGGTTGAAAACATGCTTGATAAGACCTACCAATATAAATGATAACATTGTAACAATGTTCAGTTTTTCAAGCTGGGAAAAAAACCTAGTAAATTTATTAAGTAATTAAGGCTGGATTTACATGTCTTCATTCACCACTTCTGACGTCCATAAAAGAAAAAATGTGAAAATTTCCCCAGAATATATATAGAACTTTTTGTTGTTATTGTTAAAGTCTGAAATTCTCTTTTCCATTAATATATTTACTAACCTCTCCTCGGACTCTCATGATTGAAGAGAATGCCATTCACTGCAAAGAGATTATATGCCTCACGGAAGTTCACCACAATCCAGTAAGCATAGAGTTTTGCTGCTCCTGTTGGGACAATTTTTAAAAAGCAAGTAAAAGACAGTGTCTTAGTATTTAAAAACAGTGATTTTCATTCATCTTAAACAAGTAACAACTTACACAAACTACAATTTGTAATGTATCAAAATAGAAAAAAAAGACTTAAAAGCCAAAGACAAAATAAAGGCTTCTTTGCCAGTTAATAATGTGCACAAGGAAATATTTAAGAATTTCTTACTTTTGTAATATCCATGGTTCTTTGTTTTACAATCCAATTGACTTCAATTATAGTGTGTGCCATGTATCAAGTGGACCTTCTTAGGTCTTATTTGTTTTTCTTAGTATTAAGAAATTAAAAAGTGAAAAAATATGGGATCTCACTATTCTAGCTGCTTCAAAACTTTATCACATAAGTCTTTCATGAATACTTTTTTACAAATATGTAAGATGTAATAGACCTTTTTTTTTTTAAAGGTTTGAACTCAGGGAGGCTTTCATCGGGGAGATAAAAAACATGAAACCTTATCACTTCAGCACAGTCCCACAACATTTCAGAAAAAAAAATCATGTTTAGTTTAATTTTCCCTTCAAAGTGATCTGCATGAAAGGGCTGAATGAGCATGGACTGGTGAGGTGAGGTGGTAATTCCACCCTGGAGGCAATGGCAGCAAATACTTGTAGTTAGCAATGTATAAAGGTATGCTTCTCAACAAGTCTAGTCACTTTAGTTTATCTTAATGTTAATCTCACACCCAAATGACTTCAGCCATGAGACATGAACAGAATTAAAGCAGGAACACACAAACGCCCCATACACACAAAGAAAGTGGCACATGTTGTTCTCACCGTATGGCGACCGAGGATAAAAGGGAGTGGTCTCCTTCTGGGGTATTTCTTGCACTTTCCCATAAAGTTCACTTGTGGAGGCTTGGTAGAACTTCACAGAGTTGATAAGGCCACAGGTCTTAACTGCATCCAGAAGCCGTAAAGTGCCAACCCCATCAACATCTGCAGTATATTCAGCCAGGTCAAAAGAAATCTGGAAAGAGCAGGAAAGGAAGTGCTATATTAAGGGTAACAGCAACAAAGATGTTGACTGGAGAAAACAAAGACTTTTTACAATTTCACACACTTAGAAAAGTTATGTTTGTGAATAGCAGACTAAGAATGTGGATATCATCTATTTCTAACACCAAATGGCTAGAAAATACCTTAAGAAATTAAGAATATGAGGTAAAATGAAGAACTGTATAACCAGACATATCACCTCCTACTTCTAAGCTGAATACCGGGGTGTTCCTTAAAAATAAAGACTGAACCAGTCTCTTAGGGGTGAGGGCCTAGGAAATGCACATTATTAATGAGTCCCAGTTGATTTTTATGCACACAGAAGATTGAGACTATGTACTTTAGAACACAGTTTTAAAAAGAATTGTTTCATATTCTATTTTAAATTAAGATACAAAAATGATTTTTAGTATATTACATATGTATAATCTTTTCATTATGAGATTCTGAACACAGCAAGAAACTAATGTAAATTGAATTGAATGATTTCTAAGAGGATGCTAAGAAATAATTCAATATTTTACAGTTTTTTAACATATTCTTTAAAAATATGCTTTTTTCCTAAATTATTTATAAGCACAATAAACAAATTTACCTAATATTCAAACCTCTTAAAATAACAAGGCTAAAAATCTTTGTCACTGGTTTACTTAATGTCCAAATATAGCTGGACAAAATTCAGACATGCTTCTCTGCTGCCTGGTGAATGACCTCAATGTTCACCTGGAAAAATCCCCTCTAGGGTGACTGAGGTTACTGGCTTCATTACAGCTCAGTCCTGCGTGTCCCCTGAGCAAAAGTTGTAGCCTTGTCTATATACAGGGTATTAACGTAACTTAGGCGATTGCTAACCAGATTCCTAACTCAGACACTAAACTCATGTCATCTAGGCCTGTCAGTAAAGCTCACATGGCAGCCTTGAGATAAAATAGAAAAAAAGTATCTCACAATCTTTCCAAGCCAAGAAAGCACAATTGGCACTATTTTATTCTTTTTAAATAACAATTTATTGGGTAAAATTTACATAGCATAAAATTCGCCCTTTTAAAGTTTATGACTCAGTGGTTTTTAGTATATTCACAGCATTATGCAATCATTACCACCATCTAATCCAGAACCTGTCATCATCCCTACAATAAACTCTGTACCCATTAGCAATCACTTCCCATCTTCCCCTTCCGCCCCTCTGCCCACCGCACCCCCACCCTGCCCCACAATAGTCACTACTTTCTGTCTCTAAACATTTACTTATCCTGGACATTTATTATAAATGGAATCATATACCATGTTACCATGTGTCCTTTTCTGACCGGCTTCTTTCACATATCACATTTTCATTCTCTTGGATATGTACCTAGGAGCAGGGTCATTTGGTAACACTACGTTTGACATTTTGAGGAACTGCCTTACTGTTTTCCAATGTGGCTGCACCATTTCACATGCTCAACAACAGTTAATGAGGACTCCAATTGCTCCACATCTTACCCAGCATTTGCTGTAGTCTGTCTTTTTGATTACAGATATCATACTAGGTATGGTTTTGTGTTATTTTTTCAATTGAGATATAATTAACAAATAACATTATATTAGTTTCGGATGTACAACATAAATGTAACATATTATGACTTGATAATATATTGTAATCTAGTTAACAGCAATCACCAAGCATAGTTATTTTTTTTCTCGTGATGAGAATTTTTAAGATCTACTCTTAGTAACTTTCAAATATACAATTATTATTTGAAATTTATTATTATTATTATTACCTATAGTCACCATGCTGTACATAACATTCCCATGACTTATTTTATAACTGGAAGTTTGTATCTTTTGACCATTTTCACCCATTTTGCCCACTGCTCACCACCAACTACCCTGCCTCTGGCAACCACCAAAATGTTCTATCTATGAGTTCACTTCTTTTCATTTTTTAGATTCCACATGTAAGTGAAATCTTATAGTATGTCTTTCTCTGTCTAACTTATTTCACTTAGCATAATATTCTCAAGGTCTATCCCTGTTGTCTCAAATGGCAGGATTTTATCTTCTTCCATTGATGGATACTTATGTTGTTTCTATACCCTGGCTATTGTAAATAATACTGCAATGAACATAAGGGTGCAGATATTTGAGTTAGGGTTTTTGTTTCCTTTGGATAAATCCCTAGAAGTGAAATTGCTGAATCATTTGTTAGTCTATTTTTAATTTTTTGATGAACCTCTATAATTGTTTTCCATAGTGGCTACACCAATAGTACACAAAGGTTCTCATTTCTCTACATCCTCATCAACACTTACAATCTCTTGTCTAGTTCACAACAGCCTTTTTAACAGGTGTGTCGTGATATCTCATGTGGTTTTGATTTACATTTCCATGATGATTAGTGATATGGAGCAAATTTTCAAGTACATGTTGGCCATCTGTATGTCTCCTTTGGAAAAATGTCTATTGAGTTCTTCAGACCATTTTAAGTTGGATTTTTTTTCTATTGAGTTGTATGAGTTCTTTGTTTATTTTGGATATTAGCCCTTTATCAGATATATGATCTGCAGTTATTTCTCTCATTCAGCAGAATGCCTTTTAATTTTGTTGATGTTTTCCTTTGCTGTGCAGAAGCTTTTTAGTTCGATGTAGAAACACTTGTTTATTTTTGCTTCTGGTGTCAAATCCAAAAAATCATCGCCAAGACCTATATCAAAAGCTTATTGCCTATGTTTTCTTTTAGGACTTCTATGGATTCAGGTTTTATGCTCAAGTCTTTAATCCATTTAGAGTTAGTTTCTGTGTATGGTGTAAGATAATGGTCTAGTTTCATTCTTTTGCCTGAGGCTATACAATTTTCCAACACCATTTACTGAAGACTATCCTTTCTCCCTTTTATATTCTTGAATCCTGTGTCTAAATTAATTGACTATCTATGTGTGGGTTTATTTCTGAGTTTTCTATTCTGTTCCATTGATCTATGTGTCTGTTTTTATGCCAATACCATACTGTTTTGATTACTACAACTTTGTAATATAATTTGAAATTAGGGAAGTGTCATGCCTCCAGCTTTGTTCTTCCTTCTCAAGATTGCTTTGGCTATTAAAAGTCTTAAGTGGATCCAGACAAATTTCTCATTGTGGTTTTGATTTGCATTTCCCTGATGACTAATGATGTTGAGCATATTTTCATGTGCTTACTAGCCATTTGTATATCTTATTTAGAGTGATGTCTATTCAGATTCTTGACTCATTTTTAAGTTGGGTTATTTATCTTTTCATTATTGTTGTAAAAATTCTTTACATCTTCTGAATAAAAATCTCTTATCAGATATATGACTTGCAATTTTCTATCATTTTGACGGTTGTCTTTTCACTTTCTTTTTAATTCTTTCTATATTGAGATATAGCTGACATAACATTGTGTAAGTTTAAGGTATACAAACACTTTTCACTTTCTTTGTGTCCTATAAAGCACAAAGTCCAATTCATCCAATTTTTCTTCTGTCATTTGTGCTTTTGGTGTCATAACTTAGAACGCTCTGCTTAACCCGAGTATATAGTTTTATTCCTATGTTTTATTCTAAGAGTTTTATAGTTTTATTTATTACATTTAGGTCTTCAATCCAGTTAGTTTTTAGTTATTTTTTATATATGGTATAGGTCAGAGGTCTGAATTTATCGTTTGCATATGGATATTAAGTTGTACTAATAACACCATTTATTGAAAAGGCTATTCTTTCCCCATTGAATGGTCTTAGTACTGAGCCATTTTGTTTTCAGGAAAAGCTGTGGCCCCATGTTGAGGGTACAGTGCACTGAGCAGGCCTCAGTAGATGGAGGTGTCAGGGTTCTAGGACCACTTGGGGGTATCCTTTGAGCAAACCACTTGACCACTCTCTCTGGCTATAGTTTTCTCATAGTGCCACAATTATACATTTATATGACACTTTACAATTTTAAAATGCTTTTATTGGAGCTTTCCAACAATTCTAGGAGAAACAGAAACCAGGTCCTGAGGTTCCGAGAGATTGCTTGTCACTTTAAAGTCATACTAAAAGCCGGAAGCAACAAAGCTGGGAATGAAAGCAGGTCTCCACTCCTGAAATGCTGCTCACAACAAAAGCAGGGCTCAGCCTTTCTGAGACCCAGACTCTGTAAGGATCTCATGAAAGTCTCAGACATTCTGACAAGAAACATATATGCATGAGAGTGCATACAAGTGCACGCATGCATGTGCGTACACATACTGTTTTGTTGAGGGATTCATAGATTACAGATGAAGAAATAGATATTTAAGATCCTTTTTAACCCTAAGTATCTGTCAAGCCACTATATAAATTCATATCCAATATTTTCAGTCTTTGTGATAAAATCAATCAAGTTTGAACAGTTAAGAGCATGTTGGGTTTTTTTTTCTCTCATTGGCTGTTTTTTTAAACTTATATATGCATTATCTAAACAAAATGAAAAGGTAGCATTTTTTGAGTACACAATATGGGGTAGACATCATTCTAATAAGGAGTGTGTGTGTGTGTGTGTGTGTGTGTGCGTGTGTGTAATTTAATCCTAAAGACAGGTAAGCACTAAAACTTAGGCACAGAGGCTGCAGCAAGTGGTGGAGCCACATATGATAGCCATAGCAAACATTATATATATATATATATATCATATAATATATAATCATGTTATATACACAATAACCAAAAAATTCTTATGTAAGCACGTGAAACACTGGAACACAGGATAAGGAAATTTTGCACAACTTAAAAGCTTTTAGTTATGCTGGGAAATCGAATTTAGATAAGTGATAGGTCCTTATTTAGAGGACTGAAAACTTGGAAAAAAACTGAGAGCATTTAGGCTGAAGAAATTATGAGACGGCAGTTGGAGAGGGGGGTGGGCGTAGGGTACTGCATGTATGTAGATTTTTAGGTAACACCACCAAGAATTAAGCATATGTTTGATATTCAAAGTGTGAGAGAAGAAG